CTAACATTCATTTAGAGAGCTTATAAGATTATCCTTGCGCCTTAGGAGATGTATCGTCGAGTCATTCGTAACTTAATATGCGTAGTGCACACTTTACACGTTAACTGACGAACGGCGAAACTAGAACCTGCTCATTTCCAGTGATTTCTCTTTGTTTCCTTGTTTCTTTTGTTTTAGTCGGTTATATATCAGTCAATAGAACACATTTCTACATTTTGTAAGGCTAGAAAATGTTTTACTGAGAAGTTACTAGTATGGGTGTCGTCACTAATAGGGCTTAGTGTGCAATCCCACATATTAAGTTACAAATGACTCGAGGTTAGCTTGCGTCTGCGCGTCTTTAATGTTATTCAGAGTTGCGCGCTGGTGGGGTTTCGGAAGGCACTGGTTGCGATGCAAGGACTATCGAATTCGTACAGCGGTCATCAGACGGTAAGCAGGGTTCCATTATCCCATCTCTTGACCTCGCAAAGTTGATATGTTACAGCGTTAGCCTATGGGTCGTAGCGCGTCTTGGTCAAATGGAACCACATTTGCGTAGTCGTGCACTACCTTTGTATTGGTAGTAGTTTTGGAAGTATTCAGTCATTTAGTCATTTTTCATGATCATATTTACCGAATCACATTCTTGTTTTTATTATACTTATCTCATTTTATATGATACCCATTTTATGATTATATTAATTTTCGCAACTTTAAGACTTTGTGTGACGTGCGCTAGTATTACGTTTTAGCATTCTCTTTTGCGCACAGTAGCTCTTCCTTTGAGTTGTGGATGTTTTATGCTTTTCGCACGAGACCGGTCCATTACAGCTATCTTTTTGCCGCGCTCTTACTCTGCTACCGATGGATAAGCTTTAATCCTTTTTTGGTTATCACCTAAAATTTTCGGCTAAAGGCATCAACCGCAGATCCCTGGTGCTATCACGTAACCACCTCTCGAACGCCCAAGTCTACTGCTTCTGGGGGGAGTGTCGCGGCTCCGCGATGCGAGCGCTCCTAAAAGTAGGAGGCCGGAAGCACCGGTTGCTGCCGCGCTATCTGGCGACAATTACGGTACTTTCCCACGCTTGCCGCAATCGCCGCTGGACCTCTCCTCGCTTTGGCGCGTTGCCAACCAAACGGCTATAGCGGCGGCGCCTCATTTCGGTGCCTGTCTGCTTCGATAATCCTTTTTATGTTTTCTATTGTGCTCGTGCCCGGCAGTTAGCTCCCGCTTTTGGTGTCTCTTTTGCGTTAGCGGTCGAGCGGATCGGTAGTTGTATTGAATTGAAACTCAAGACAGATTTGGGATCGCTTCGGACGGGTTACATTTGAAACCTTTGGGATTTAATATCTTGTGAAGCTTGGGAGCGGAGAGGTGTCGCGCCTGGTATCCGCCGACGCGTGGCGGTTCTGTATAGGTGAAGCCTCGTGAGCACATTCTTTATTTAAGTTTATAGTCGCGCACCATCAGTAGCACGGGACGGGGCACCCTGTCCCGTGTTAGGGTTTTAGTTAGTTTCTTTTAGTTAGTAGTTTAGTAATAGTACTTTCGTAATACAGTTTAGCGTTTAGTTGTTTTCCTTTGTGTCATAAGGATAAACTATAAGTATTAGGTTGGCACATAAGTTTTGCAACTTTTCCCATAACTTTTTTCCTATTTTATATAGCAATTTCATTTTGTGGCATCTTGTAGATCGTGATGTAAGCTGCAAGTCTGCGCAAACCGTTTGATTTTTGATAACGTAGTACAAAAAATTTAAGCATTTTTTGAGAACTGCTGAAAATCGAGATTTCACGATTTCTTGGCAAATATGAAGCCCTACGAAACCTGATTCAAACATATGAAAAAGTTATTGTAGGCAACATGTAGCTGGAAGTTGGCACATTAGAATCAGTGAAAAAGAAATGAAATTTAAACACAAACTAAGGTGGGGCGCCTTTGAGAAATTGCACAAGTCAAATGCGTCAAGTTTTGAAGGCAATTTGTCAATAACTAAGCTGCGAGAAGTCAGAATTAGCTATAACTTTGCATTATAGGGTAATTCTATGCGGTAAACATGAATATCATATTCATTTGTCGCTAAAATGAAATTCATCTTTTGATCTCAGGAACGAGGCCTTTTCATGCAAAACGGATCTCATTTTTGTGATCAGCATGTCAAATAAGCCCTATAGGCCAAGTTTCAGTAAAATCTGATGCATTCTAAAATTTTTCCTATAATACCTTAAACCTACCGTAATCCTCACATAAGAAGGTAAAATTCGGCAAAAATGTGTGCATTAGAAGCTTACATCATATTCCTTATACAGGATGTCCCAAAAACATGTATCGAACTTTGATCGTTAATATCTCTCTTCCCAAGAAGTATTTTGCCTTGCTTCAAGTACCATTTTGTAGAACTGGCTTCAACTTAGATTCTCCTTATAAAACGAATCACCCATCTCTCTTCATTACTGTGGGATTACGGTAGAAACTTGAAACACATGGTGTCAATGTGGAAAAAGCTGCCGTTTCAAAATTTTTCAAAAAAAAATGTGAAAACTTGTGTGATAGGGTTTTTATGGACGCTGAGTTCAATACTCAACTATTCACGAGATTACGAAGCCTTCTAAACGGTGTAACCGCAGTTTTTAGAAACATTGAAAAAATGGCCGCTACCTCTTAGCTGGCATACTCTTCAATGAAGCATCATATTAAGTTGGGAACTTTACATTATAATCAGCAACTCTAATTAGCCTAGTGTGAAAGTTTTGAGGCTGTTTTGTTGTCTTTCTGAGGCAAAATATGGCTTTTCATTGCTAAAAACCTTCTTTGAAGTTTCTACCGTAGTCCTACAGTAATGAAGAGAGATGAGTGATTCGTTCTATAATGCAAATCTAAGATGAGGCCAGTTCTACAGATTGGTACCCGAAGAAGGGAAAAGACTTCTTCAGAAGAGAGATATTAACGATCAAACGTTCGATACATTTTTTTGGGACACCCTGTATTGCCAAAAAATGAATGCGCTACGTTCAAATAGACAAAAGTTGAATGAAAAGTTGCATTACTTGTGTGCCAACCTAATAATTTAAGCATTGTTTTCTTACACGCTAGGGCAAGCAGTAGGCTAGGTTGCGTCGTATGTAATAAGCGGGCGAGCGCACGGGAATCTTGGGTAAGTCTAGGTGCTTAAGGCCCACCGAGCCGCCACACACCCTCCTCTACATTGTGGACATGAATTAGTTCCAGAATGTTCTAGATTTGGCTTGCGGAATTAGTTGTAAACTCCGGAAAAGTAGATTTTTGCGCTTTAAGAAAATGAAGGGAGGTCGATAGTCTTTTTTTAATCAAAACATGCGAGGATTGCTGCGAACTCGCAAACATGTGTGTAGTTAAGGATGCATCATTCTGTGGTGTAGGTTTGAAATCGATACTATAGGAGCCTGCACGATCGCGAGAATCGGACGTGCGTACGACCATTGCGCCGCGCACGTCCGATGTCACTGAAGCAGGTGCCAGACTTATCCCGTTCAACCGGTTCATTCTGTTCATTCATTCGCTATTAGTCAAATCAACGCGCTGACCAATAGCAGAGGGGTGACCCTGATGAACCTGCTGAGCAAGGTAAGTCTGGCACCTACCTGAGTCGTGGGACGGACATCGGATGTGCACAGTGCCATGGCCGTACGCACGTCCGACTCTCGCAATCATGCAGGCCCCTATACCAGTGATTTGTAAGTTATTACAATGCATACTTAGGATATCACCCTGCAGATAGAATCTGAGTTTACATTTGCAGCTTGACAGAATCGCGATGATTGCATATAGCAAAAAGCTTACATTGAAGGTGTTGAAATCTCTTTTCTTTTAATTGGATGCAGATTAACTTATTCTTGTACGCCTATGTTCCAACGCTTATGCGTAGGAACCCATGCCTCACCGAATAAGACAATAATCGACTAATGCCTTCTAATAAAGTAGTGAGATACGACATTTTGATACCGACTCGTTCACTGGAACTCAACAGTATAATGAACAAAATCTTAAGCAGCCTTGAAGGAATCGGCTCGGCAGAATGACAACTTTGGGATATTCATCGTTTTCGGTTCCCCTGTATGAGCTAAGTCCAAGACAGTGCTTTACAGCTTAAAAGATATTAGTAACCCGCTTTTCCAGACGTGAAAAAGTGCTAATTGCTCAGACAATCGTTAGGGACAGGCGGTCCGCAAACTCGCACTTTCCTGCAGGTGGTCAGCAGAATTTTGGGGCGTGGCCAAACCTCCAGCGAGCGGTACTTCTTTTGCTGTCGTATGTTCTGCCAGCGGGCAGCGATACAGAGTTTCCTGCAAGCGGTCGTCTATTAATTCCTTTCAGCGAGCGCTGACCAAACTTTCAGCAGGCGCTCGGACTGTTTTTAAGCAGTTTCGGGCATACGCCGAGCAAAGGTGAGACTCTATGTGGCAGAGGTGTCATAGCTGGTTTGATTACCCAAGTTTGGGGTGCCCTTTCCCGCGGAAGGTACCCCATGGGCCAAGCGGTTCTTCACAAAAGACCGTGCGGCCCCCAATAATCTTGCATATTCTCGCGGAAACTCCGCGAGAATGCGGCCACTCGCCACGATATATCCACAGAAAAACCGCGACAGTTCCGCGAGTATTCATCGAAAAATTGGCCAACATTCCTCCAAATTTCTGCAAGCGGAGCGCAAGGAATCAACGAATTATCTTTCCGGTGCCTGCCCAAAAATCACATGGCCGCCTGCCCCGGCGATTGTCTGAGTGAGCGCGCGACGTATGCCTGCCCTCTTAAGCGCGATTGGCTTGTGGGTACTGTGGGTACGGTGCCTTCACTCACGAGCCAATCGCGCTGTAGTGGGCAGGCCTACGTCGTCCACCCAGTTAGCACTTTTTCACGTCTGGAAAAGCGGGTTACTGATATTTTTTGAAGCTGCAAAGCACAGTCTTGGACTTAGCTCGTACAGGGGAACCGAAAACGATGAATATCTCATAACTGTCATTCTGCCGAGCCGCTGCCTCTAAGAGAGATTCCACACTGAAAGGCAATTAGCAATATGTGCATGGAACGTACGTGAAGAGGTCCGGAATTTACCATCGGTTTGTAGCATTGTTAAGCGATCGTAGGGAGGATGATCACAGTTTATATATGCTGTGCACTGTCCATCTGGCGTTGCGTGATATATAACACTTTCTGTGGTCTGTAAAGTTATAAATTCTTTGATTTGTATTAAGACGGTTAATCAGTGAATAAAGGACTGCAACTCAAGTAGAATTCTTACATTCCAACAGTCTGCTTTAGCAGGACATATCTTGATATTGTAAAGGTCGGTAGGACATGAACATAAACCGCGATGTGTATCTGCAAGGTAGTAGAAATTACTGGTGGATAGGGCATTTGGAAAATCGTGACGATGGCCGACCGTGCGCTACACGTACGCCACTTCCGAAAACCGCATTTTCTTAGTTTTCCTCTCTATTCGAATGGTTTTTTTACTTACGTACGACAGTATTTAGGCACTGGAAGTGATTGAACTGAGCTTTGAGGCGATGTCTTCTTGTACGAGGTTTCATGCTCCTGTGTGCGCAAAGTCCGCAGTCAAATCCATCGTCACGAACTTATATATGACCTATACTTTATACACGGCTGTCCCGAAAGTTTTGTCCGATTTTTCGAACGTTTGTATAACGACCTAGAATCTTTGAAAATTAATTGATGCAGCACGGAAAATGAGCGCTATGAAAAGCGCTTACTCTTAGCCTTAGTTAGAGCACTCATTCGCCTCGAATTGTTCCTTTACCTTCTTCTCAATAATATTCCTCTTTTTCTCTCTACTGCCCAAAAATATACTGCTCAAAAATCGAGAACACGGGAGTGTTAGGACGGAACAGTCATAGTTGATTCGTTGACCACACTAACTGGACATCACTGCGGAGCACGCGCCGGAGGTAAAACACTTGCCTTAGTACAAATGCGCCATTGTACAAATCGTGCTCTCGCAACATTTTAGCTGCGCCGCAAGTGGTCCGCAGCGTTTGAGCAGTCCGGGCGTTCAGCGAATCGAGGTACATTACGCAATCTAGTCAACTTCAATCACTCAAAGTTCGCTGTTTTCCAAAAGTTGGTCCAAAGTTTCGGAAAAGTAGAAGTGATACAAACACAGCGAGTGTCGGACTATTGAGGACTAGCTGGCTTATCCAGCTCCGCCCGGCCTTGTCAAAAACGATAAAGGTTCCATTTCTATCCCTGTACACCTCTTGTGCACACTTGCACATGCAATTTCCTATCCCCGCTGTGTGAGTAATCACTATGCTCACCTACCTTCCTCACCACCCCCAGCCCCGTAGCTCAAACTTTGCAAAAAAAACAATAAAATCGATAAATGTAAGGATACTTCTAAAAACTGATGGCGTTATTCGGCTATCCACGCCTTAAGATGTTTTTGTGGTGTGTCTTGCTTAAACTCGGTATATAGGGGGTTATTCAAGCCGCTAATGGCGAATATGGTAGTCATTTCGCGAGGCAGCGGGTAAAAATCATAAACTTTGGGTAATTCCCGCCTGAAACCTTAGCCGGGAATTACCCAAAGTGCTGTTTCAAATATCGTGCTAAATTCCCATGATAATGGCGATTCGTGTGGTATAAAAGTTTCCCACGACCATAGTGCTTTCCTTAAAGGACCACTGCCGCGCGCGATACTCCCTTCGGCGGGTTTTGCCTGGAGACCGCCATGCAAAACGACCGTTTTCCCATCTCTTAAATACCTGGGATCTATTGGCCCGAAAGCGAAAAAAATGTCTATTCAAACCCTGCAGCTCACCATAGCTTCACTAATGCGTTATGACAGCGAGCAAGTATCATATTCATAAGCAGTATGCTTGTGAACGTTACAGGTAAGGTTTTGAGCAAATCCGAAACCTCGACCCGTTTACACCCACCGTAATTCAAGAAAATGCACTATCCTGCGAAATCAGCATGATATTCATGTTCAGCGCGTTAAATGGCCACCCTAGACGAAGTTCAAAGCAAATCTCTGTTTTCGACCCCATACCGTAACGACCATAACTCTATGAAAGGTCCCAATATACAGAGAGAGTATGAAATTCGTAATCAGCACGTCGAATAAGTTCTCTAGACCAAACTCCAGCCGAATTCATGATTTTGACTTCCTACCGTACGCCTACCGTAACCACACGGGGAGACGTTCTGCGGAGAAAGTGTGATATCTGTTTTCAACACGTAAGATGACCCTTACACCCGAAGTTTGAGCAAGTTGTACAACAAAAAAAATTTTGGGGCCCGGATAGCCGGATAGTGCCACACTGATGTGTTCGTAATCAGCATGCTCGATTACCCCCTGTGCAAACTTCCTGCCCCGCAGGTCAAACTTTACAATAAAAAATCGATAAAAATCGATAAAATCGATAAAAGTAAGGGATGAACCAAAAACTAATATTGTATTTGGAATCAGCATGCTCGATTACCCCCTGTGCCAGCTCCCAGCCCCGCAGGTCAACCTTTACAAAAAATCGATAAAATCGATAAAAGTAATCGATAACTGTGAAAACTAATATTGTATTCGGAATTCCCATGCTCACATACTCCCCTGTGCCAACTCTCAGCCCCGTAGGTGAACTCTCCAAAAAATTGATAAAAATCGATCAAATCGATAAAAGTAATCGATAACTGTGAAAAGTAATATTGTATTCGGAATCCCCATGCTCACATACCCCTCCCCCCCTGTGCCAACTCCCAGCCCCGTAGGTGAACTCTGCAAAAAATCGATAAAACTCGATAAAATCGATATCGATCGATGACGAAAAGTAGCCTATGACACCCGCCGGGGCCCGAAGTGTATGTGTGCCAAGTTCGGATCGGTTCAGAAATGGAATTTTCTATTCGGAACATACGTACACACATACAGACAGTCATACAGACAGACAGACAGACATACAAACAGACATTCAGCTTTATATAAAAGATTCCATTCCGTTCTGGTGTTTGGAACTCTACAAAATGTTTCTTTAGAGCTCCCGATTTTTGGTAAAGTCATGAAATACACATCTGCAGCAAAAACATGAAAGCTTTTGAACTTTCTGCACATTGAAGTTTGTGTAGTATTGTTGACAAAATTTGTACAAAATAATCAAGCTTGTTTGCTCAAAAAAAAAACAGCTTCTTTTATTTTGGTACCTTGCGCTACAACTGCTCAAGAGGTTTTCTCCAAATAACCGTTAGTACAAAAGTCTAAAACTTGAATTGAGTCTGAGTAGAACGTAGCCCAAGATTTACTTGCATAACGGCTAGCAGCCTTTTCTAAAATTTAGAAAAGTAGCGTCAATTCTAAACTGCTCAAAGAGCCTTGCCTATAACATCGGAAGGACTGCATGGATCAAAGCAGCTCTAAAAGAGGATGAAAATCTTTATGGAATGATATCTAGGTCGTTCAGCGATCTTGTTCTATGAGTTTTGGTGACGAATCAAAAAATTGGACAAAACTTTAATAGTTAGTTTTAAAAATTCTGAGATTGTGTGCTATGTCTATGATCCAACTAGCACTTTCACTTTATGCACGTCTACGTAATCTTTCAAAAAACTTTCGAAAAAGTTCTGTTAGTTTTCGCTGTTGGCCTCCTAATTTCTAATCTTGACCTGTTAAATTGGTCGAAAGCACTGGCAGATCCTCCTTGTGTGTACCTAAACTAGATAACTGTAGTTCAGGTCATTTTAAAAATTTGCTGTTTTGTATACCTTGTAGCCATGTACCAAAGACCGAGAGTGTGCCAATGGTCAGGTTGTACACATTGACCAGCATTCTCAATCTCTGTAACTGTTATCTGCGTCACTTGAGTGCTAATGTCAACTGGATAAAACAATTACTTTAAAACATTTTCTGATATACGAATTGGCTGCCTGTGTTGAAAAGATTTGAGTCTTGAAAAAGCCATTACTTTGTTATCAAACTTATCTGAATATTGTTTAACTTCTTTAGCGATTTGCTGCTAACAGACGTTGAGCTTTTATTTCCCTTACTCTGGCAAAGCTTGACAATATTATAAAGTTATCGCTAAAGTACCTTTAGACTGTATGCGAATATCGCCTGCTAAGCGCGGTGGTTGAGTGTGCCTTTATGAGTGCAAGTATTTCTTTCAAATCACCCAATATAAAAGTTGTCAATTTCGGAGTTCTATAGGGCCCGTCAAGATGACATAGTTACTATCCGGTGTGGACCGGGATCGATTTAGAGTTGAATCAGGATTCTATCATGGTACTAGCCGCAAGCGTTAGCGCTCAGTTTGCCTGCGCTTTCCATGCTACTTATGTCCAGATTTGATGTGGACTCAACCTGGATGCGACCAAATCATATTCAATCAGTTATAAATACGATAACACCTTCAAAATAAATTCAGAGTAAAAGTTACCACAGCAGAAAAAGTTACCACAGCAGGAAAAACTTCGAACATTTTCAAAGTTTCTGAAGGCCACATGGACTGAAAAGGCAAGCACCGGGACAAACATAACATATTAAAGAAGAAGCATATGTTTCACTAGTGATGCAAATGATTGTTGGGAAATGCTGCTTATTGAGAAGGACTCTATTTTATTTGTGCCGACAAGCTCTGGGATTGCTGTTGGGCATGTGAACGGAATAATGGACTGGAAATTTGCTGAGCATTAGAAGTGTAATCACACCTGGGAATAGTCACCTTCTGGAGCTTAGATTGCATGCAAATGCCGAAACAATAAACATTTTCCCATGAAGCATTTCTTTTGTAATCGCTGACTTCAAACATTCGAGTACCAATGCAGGGGCTAAATGGGAGACTCTCGATTGATGACCGGACAGTCGCATGCAGCAGCGCCGTGCGATATGTTAGGTTGTCCCAAAAGTAAACTCCATTTTCAAATAAATTGAGCTGTTCTTGTTCTCCTAACAGACTTAAGGTGCCATTCGATAGAGCGGAGCAAGCTAAAGACTACCGAAGATCCACTTAAGTCGTAATCCAGATAAAATTTGGGGGCAAAAATCAAGATTTTTCAGCTACCCTAAAAATCGGATCTTTCTCCAGAGAATTCGTACGGACTTCCAACTCGGTCTTTATTAGTAGACATATAGTATGTAGTAAAATGCATTTGGCGAGTTCTCTTCGGGGCTTAAAACTGAGAAAAAAAGATGGTCCAAAAATGCCAAAATGCTACTTTTTTCAGGTTTTTATGTAAAACTTGGTAATTCTCGAATATAAGAGCACATGCACGGGTGACTTTTTGAAATTATACATACACCTGTGCGTCACCTCCGCTTCGCGGAGGTTCGCACTGGCTCTCCCATCCGTTTGCCTTTCTCATGTTCGCATAATGATGACTTTGAAACCCGCCATGCGATGCTGAACATCACAGGTGGATAGTAAACAACTGTTCATTCTTGAAGCATCTCTACGTAAGATCGGTAATTTTGAGAGAAAAAAACTTGTTGCAAAAGAACACCTGCGAATTTGATTAGATTACTGAATTTGTTTTGGCTTGGTAGTCGTCATAAGGATAATAGTCACTTTGAGCTAAATTTCCGTGCGAAAATCTTTCCAAGTCTAAAAGTAAAAGCTTGCCAAATCGACTGTCTAAGCGATCTCCACTTCTTGGTGCTGCTGTCGCAGAAAAGCAAACTTTTTGAGCACTTTATGGGCTAGAATTTATGAGGTGCAGATGTACTTATCAGGCAAATCATGACTTCGCAAAAAGTCGAATTGATGACCTAGTTTTGCGTGCCAAAAGCCGCGTGGGCCCGTTTGACGCGCAGTTTTTAAGGGTCCCAGATATCGGATCAGCTTGTGCGTTTGCACTTTTTACCTACATGCTGGTAGGGTGCTATGACCAAAATTTCAGCTCAAGACCTCGCCTACAAAACGCTCTATGAATTTCGTGACAGACAGACATAAACACACACACACACAGACAGACACGCGCTTTATTATAAGTCATGATAGTAAGTCTTGTAGTATACAATGACATACATATGTGGAGGGGCTGGGGACGGAGTTTGCCATTTTTGGACAATTTATGTTTTTCGCTTTCTATGCTTGGAAAAAATTCGTTAGAGGCACATTTGAGTACCACTATGTGCCTACTATATAATACCAAGTTGGAGGTCTGTAGGATTCTTTATTGCAGAAATTTAATTTTCATTTTTCATTTTTCATCCGTGTTCGAGTACTTCACGATTATTTGATTTTCTTTATAACCGAATATCCGTAAAACCGCGTTTGTTCGATTATGCGTATAGTCGAATAAATAGGAAAAGATGTTCGAATTTCTATTCGTTCCGCCACTTCAACTGGCTTATTCGAATATTTGACGACTCAAACTTTTGCAGTAAATTCACGGGTTCAGATATCGTCCTAGTCGATCAAATAATTAGTAATTGATCAAAGATAGCAGGCTGACATGATCTACTTTTTTGCGCCAGTCGGGAGCGATGCCAGAGCGTAGTGGAGACAAGTTTGATGCACGATCTGTTTCGTGGAGTATTTCGCAGCAGTTTTTGGATGCCGTACCAAGCGCGCTGACACTTCTAACAATGAGCTTCGAAATTCTTTGAACATATATGTGGGATTCAAAAAATGTGGGCAAAACTTATTAGCTGGTAAGAACGCGTATACATAGAACCAGGAGCAATCATACAAAGTTCAATTTCTAATCTTCGCTTATGTAGTCTTTCCATATGGGTGAACGTGTCAAGCAATGTTTTGTCGCGGCCAGGTCTGACTGTGCAAATAATGTTAAAACTTCAAACATAAGCCTTTCGAAGATGCGTATAAGAAAATGAAAATATTTTTCGATTCTGCAAGGCAAAAGCAATACCGCCATTAACCCTTGCCTACGCCGACCACTGCAGTTGAAGGACCATGGTCCGTCACACTCTTTGCATAGACATGTACGAAAGGGCCAGTAGCCTTGAAGGCATCACATTGGAGGCATTGGTTCCTCTACCCTAAAATCCTCACTTGCCTTGGCAACCTTCAGCAGCTGATCGGTTTTTAAAAAATGCTCGAACGATACTTAGTTGTTTATAAGTGAGGTAGTGGTCGCAAGGAGCTGTGATACTGTCATTGAGACAGGTCCTACGTCAAAAGGCACGATTCCCACGCTTTTATAGCAGGTGAACATAAATTTGAATCTTTTCACATACTCTCTTCTCAAAACGTGTACATGTGTATCGCTTGCTGTGCAGATTGGGTATAACTCCATAATTAGCATGTATTTACTCTACAAACCGTTACCCATTGCATTTTCTAGTGTTTTCTAACTCTAAAGAGAGCGACTTTCAAACATCATTAACTTGGTTTTAAAAGTGAAAGAAATCAGCTATTCTGTGTTCATCACAAAGCAGGTATTACTCTCTATTAGTCTATCTAATTTTTTAATCTAATTTTTTTCACTTTTTCAAGTGAAGGGGCGTGGTGTTAGCCACGCGCTCGAAAAATTTTTTGGGATGCCCCTCAATATTTTTTGCCTGCTCATAACCCTCAAAATTTAGAAAAAGGGGGCGCATCAGCCATGCCCCCGAAAATTTTTTTATGGAAGGCTAATCTGAATTTTCCAAATTTTAAAGATCATTTTACTATTTGCAAGTACAAACAAGTCATTGCACTTTTCCATAAGCCATGTAAGTAACTCTCAAGAACTACGCAACCCCTTCAACTATTATGAGTACGATATTATGTTGATATATATTTTTAGTGTAAGGTTAGAAGCAAGAAAAATTTGGGTTTTTTCAAAGCTTTCAGAACAGACAGGCGGACTTTAGGAAGGCAAAGTCGGACAAACGAACAAACATACTGAAGAAGGGGCCTATGTCTGACTAGATTCAAATGATCGCGAAGAAATACTGCGCATTGGAAACTCTATCTCATATGTGGCAAGCGTCTTGGACTGCTATCATGTTTGTGAATGTGATAGAATAATAAACCGCAAATTTATTAAGCATCAAAAGTGTGTTCAAATTTGGGAGTCACCTTCTGGAGTCATAGATTACATGTAAATGCTCTAACGAAGAACATCTTCCCATAAAGCCATTTTTTCCAATCGCTGATTTTATCATGATGTGAATGAGATAGAGCATCAATGCGGATGCTGAATGGAAGGCATCGATCGATGCGCGTGCAGCCGCAACCTGTGATGATTACTATAATTGAGACCGAATATTTTTGTTCGAATAATGCATTCAATAGTTTCTAATCGAGTAATTGAATAGTCGAATATCCGTACAAGGCATTTTCGATTGTTCGAGTAGTCGAAAGCAAAAAAGATAGTTCGATTCGTTCATTCTGCCAGTTCAAACAATGACCCATTCGAATATTAGACTGTTGGAAGATGCGGCCAGTGATCACCAATACGGATTTGGCGGGAAGAAGAGGCGATTTGACCCTCTCAGCAGGGCGTAAAAAGGGAAGAGAGAGGGGAGCCGCGAGCAGAAGAGGCTCGCGGGAGTCGAAAACTGGTCAGGAGAGAGCCAGACCTCCCCACGTGGGAACTAACCGAGAATTTATCCAAACGTGACCGTGTAAAGCCTTGCTGGAGGGACAAATCGGGATATTTCCCCCCGATTTCGTGTTTTATTGCTGTTTTTTGTTCGTTGTTGGCCTTGAAGCCGTTGTTACTGTTTGTTTTGCATACGGATAAATTTTATTGTTTCCAATCTGTTCGTGTGTCTCGTCATCAAGGTGGAAACCTTAAAATACCACTAGGCACTAGCCCGCAGTTAATGGGGGCCGAGCCAACACCCTGATTAACTGGAAGATCACGAGCTGATTGATTGATCCGGTGCAGAACCAGTAGCCAGGGCCACATAGGTCGACAAGGGGCAAAAGAATCGATCGCTAGAGTGAGGAATCGATTATCCTTATCAATCCACGCATCCAGGCGCTTACGGAAGCGCTTGTATCGATTGATCTTCAATTTTCTCGTCAATTTCCTTGCCGTGTATCGCGTTTCGTCGCCGTATCGAGTGAAGATTCGTGAAAAGCAATAGGAATTGTTTTCAGATAAGAGTTTTCTTCACCTAAATGGAAGGAAAAGACAACGAAGAAAGAAGAATGAGCCAGGTGAGAGAACTTGAAAATTTGGACATAATAAAGCAGCTAGAGCTCATCAAAATGGGGATAGAGCTGCTAGCACAGGTGCTTAGCAGACACCTTAACGAGAGCAGAGCAGCGGTCAGGTACAGAGGGCCCCTAGAAGAAGTGTTAACTAGTAAGGTAGCCAGTACTGTAGGGCAAATAGATAACCTAGTAGTCCAGATCAAAATGGGTTCTAGAACTAGTCAAGTAGGGGGCTTCACGGAAAACGTAAATGCAACTATCAAAACAGACAATTGCAGGAATGCCTCCAAAGCGAGCAACTACCGGAGAAACCGGTACAAGAGAGATGAAGCCGAAGACGGCTAGGTACAAGGTGAGAGCACCTCAACATTCTTAGTAAGGAACACAAATAA